TGATTACAGAGCCAAACCAAGGCAATATATATACACAGCCCAGGTGTGAATGCAAATAGTGGAATACAAGCTATGTGGCTCGGTTCCAGTAGATACAGAGAATATTTTGTCATTCTTAACGCGTCCTACGAAATTCTTATTGCTTATTATTTTTATTTCTTATTTCAGATTAACTAAAAACTGTAAGATATAAGGCGAGATAAATTCTAAGATAAAAGGCACGCCATAGGAACAGAGAAGTATATTTATAGACCTGAATATTATAACATCATGTATTATTTTATAAAATTCTGTGATTGTATGTACGTCTAAAGAAAGATTACCTTTTAACCTTGTGCAGTGTTTAAATTATTTGACATTTTATAATTTCAGTCAATGTTTTATTCCCAATGTTTGAACGTATTTTTATGTACTGTATGCTTCTCCATGTTTGGAGGTTATTTTTGAATAAATTGAATTGAATAAATATTAAAACTTTTTAAAATATTTAAAAAAAAATTACATTAAATTACACCATAATTTTGAAAAGTAAAGTGGGCTAAATTTCCGACTTTGAATACTAAGGACAGGCCTATTGGACAACCACGTGACCCGGAAATATTTAATGTATTCGCCCAAGAAAGGGAGGAAAAGAGGTTAACAATTAACCTTCACTAAATACAACCCTCAAGAAAGTGAAATATTTGAGACCTGTCTCTTATACACATCTTAGTTACCGAGATATGACATTACAAGGGGAATTGGACGGGGAAGAGAGAGGGAGGCAGGGTAGGTATACCAGAAGTAGTGGAGGATTTGCCCAACGGTTGGAAGTGGAAGGTGAAGTTTACTTATTATGAGGCCTCAAAAGCAAGATAAAAACAGGCCAGGCCCGTAGCGGCCTACATGCTAGCACCGTACTACTAGTCCTACTGACACATCAAGAGCTAATTATACCTACGTAATTGCTGTATTAAGTAAATAAATATCCGCCTTTTGTGGATGATACGATAAAGCCAAGAAAGCCTGGGAATTTCCCAGATAAAAGAAAATTTCAATTTTTCCATAGTGTGTGCGCTTGCGCAGTGCAAATAAGCATCGCCCTCATTTGGAATTGGGAGAATAGAATTCAGCCTCTAAAATAAACTAAATTTTCTTTTTCATTGCTGAATTTTGTTAACTCTTCGTCGATTCACGGTCGAGCTTTCTCTTGGTTTGGGATTCCTGAATGTCATTCCCAGTATCGATCATTTCCGGGACAAGAAAATGTTAGCCCCCCCCCCCCCCCCGCCCCCCCCCCCATCTTGTTGAATTCAGGATTCAAGATTTGTTTACTGTATTGTCCAAAAAAGGGAATTCTGTCGGGAACATTAGACAATGTCAAAAAAAGAAATGTCAAAAAATATCGTGTTACTCAGTGCGCGAAACGTTTTTCAAAGTGGGGGCCCACTAGTAAGATGAATGGGAATATTAAAGAGGGTGATCTGCGTTCAATTTTTTTTTTTAGAGGGGAGGGGGGTGGGGTGGAGTCAAAAGTCCGGGCCTCCCCCAGGAAAATTTTAATAAATAGATGGCGGAAAATCTAATGTAGGCCTATAGAACACTTTCTTTTCCCTCCCTCTCCTCCTTCCCTCTTTCTTTTTCTTGCATTTCTTCTGATCATACAAAAATCTCCAGACATATTTTCTTCCCCCCGCGGCCCGGCCCCACCCCCCTCCCCCGGTTCAGCCGGCCATGTTACTATATTAACAACTAGATCAGGTTCACACTGGGCC